GTGGGGGCAGGGGAGGGAGGCGGAGCGGGGGAGGGAGGCGGCGCGGGGGAAGGGGCAAAGGGGGACCGGCAAAGGAGGAGGAGGAGGGAGGTGAAGGGAGGGCAAAATCGGGTTTTTGGACATGGAGGGGCCTGGACGCAAATTTTTTAAAAAGGAGGGGCTGCAGCACATTAGGGAAAGTAAGGGGAGTTGGGGCACATAGAAGTTGGGTTTTGGGGCCTTGAAGAAATTTTCCCTAAAATGTTTTCATAATATAAGAATTTTAATTAAATATTAAAATAATAAATTTCACGTGTCATCATTTTATGCACTTAGGTGGCGTTATTTGGTGCCTTTAGGAGTGCCACCAAAGTTTCTATTTTTTTAGAACTCTAAATTTTATAGGGGTTTTCAAAAAAATTGCAAGCTTAGTGGCAATGACTAAACTCATTGAAAGTTGACTGAAGTCTATCTTTTAAAAAATTAAGCAGATTCATGTGGCGATTTTTTTTTTGGAAATGTAAGGCTAATAGTACACCATTGATCCTTCCTTTATATACAAAAGAAAAGAGAATTAAAAATGTGATTAATAAATTTTTGTTAATTATATGAATAGTTAAAGAGATTTAAAATTATTATTATTTATTTTTTAGTTGTGAATAATTATGATTTGATTAAATGTTTGATTATAACTAGAAATTTTTGATTTTGAATAGATTTAATTTGATAAGAACTCTAATTATGGATTCGAAGTTTTCATAATATAAGAATTTTAATTTAATATTAAAATAACATATGACACACATCATAGTTTTATGCGCTTAGGTGGTACTGATTGGTGCTTTTAAGAGTGCCACCAATTTGTCATTATATATACAAAGGATTAGGAATATATGTGATGTGCGTATTAGTTGTACTCATTCTTATTTTTTGTTATTAAACAAGGCAAATTATAGTCGTGTATTAATAAATTGATTATTTGAAATTAAAAGTCGTGGTCTCTAGACTACTTCAAATCCGCTATAGACATGCAAGAAAAAGAATAATAGGATACAAAAGGTTTGGACGCCCCTACTTGAGACACACAAAGTGGCACGCACGTTTAAGCAATCAGCCCTCGTAGTTTCGGTATATCAATATATAATATGCCCATGCACGGTTCCAATTATGGATAAATACCAGCCCGCCCAACTCTTCGCCACTCTCCATTTTGGAGTTTTGGAGTGACCGGATGGCATCCAACATATAACTAGATTTGCACCACCGTGGCGGTTATATGGTTGATTTGGTGAGAGAGGAACCAAAGAATCTTCAACAGTAAGGATTCTTCGCCACACTACCACATATTTGCTCTAACACAATGGTTCAAAACCGTTGCGCTAGCCATGGAACCGTCGCCCTTGAGCAAGTGCGACAGTTCTCAAACCGTCTCATATGCTGCCGTTGCCCTACCTCTATTGTAACGGTTTTGAACTCTATTACGACGTTTTTTTGAACCGTTGCCCCTGCATCTAACGCAACGGTTTTAAAAGGCAAGCGGTTTTTAAGCTATTGTAACGGTTTTGATTGAGCTATTGCGACGGTTTTTAAGCTACTGTAGCGGTTTTTTTATAGTTATTACAACAGTTTTAAAAGACCTAACGCAATGGTTTTAAAAGGCAAGTGTGTTTTAAGTCATTGCAACGGTTTTTATTGAGCTATTGCGACGGTTTTTAAGCTAGTGCAGCGGTTTTTTATAGCTATTACAACAGTTTTAAAAGACCTAACGCAACGGTTTGGATTGAGCTATCGCAACAGTTTTGATCGAGCTATTGCAGCGTTTTTGATTGAGTTATTGTAACGGCTCCGATTGAGTTGTTCTTGGTTCCCTACGTCAAAATCATATAGTATTCAATTACCTGGACAATCAATGTCAAATACTCACTAGGAACCTGTCAATATCAATCTCAATCTTGGTTTTTGTCATTTTTGTACCTGTGTAAATTTCCATGAATCAGCATAATTTTTGCAATGATGATAATAAAATTGGGGAAAAAAGCATTGCAATTATTCAAAATAAATAGCTTAACATAAAGGAATCCTCAGAGGACGAATAAATTACTAACAAGTTGGCTGATTGTCAAAGAAAGCTCAAGTAACATTGGTAAATAAGGAGACCATACGCAGCTATATGAAATCAGAGATCTTCAAACACATACGCGGCTACATGAATCAGAGAGAAACATCCTGCAATTTTGGGAAGTAATTGATTTATTAATATAAGTGTAAACTTACATAACAAAATCAGATAATTTCATCCTGAAACTATACATCCTGAAACCATAAACAAAGCATTGCATACAGGATATCTATTTCACAATTTCTTTAAATATAACTCTTTTCTTCGTATCCCTAAAAAAACTTTCACCTAAAAAAGATTACTTTCTCAATGTTTTCTTGAACAGAAAAACAAGATATCAGGAAACATCAACAAATTGAGTAAATCTTTCTGACCCTTGTTAAGATTTTTTTACCCCTTTGACCAAATTAAACCATTTGGAGGGTTAAGGAGGGACTAAACTCCCTTAACCCTTCTCTTAAACCCTTGACAACTGAGGCCTAAAAGAACCATCCTCCCATAATCAAATGATTAAGATTTAGAGACAAACCTCAGTTTAGCATTCTTTGTCTGGCAACTCTTACAAAGCCAAGTTTTCTTTAGTTCATCCTATTCAATTTGGCATTCTTTGTCTGGCACCTCTTGCAAAGCCAAGTTTTCTTTAGTTCATCCTATATCAAGTTAATCAAACTAAGAATTAAGGTTTAACAACAAAAGTTTAGTTTTGACCGCATGAGATACGATATGTATTTTTCAAAACTTAGAATTACAAAGAGTATGCCTTGTTTAGGACTTACCATGAAGACCGTGCTTTTTTGGGTGTTCATACTTTATTTAATTATTTGTGTTCTAAATTAGAAAGCTTTGATATCTTTCATATTTGTGTAACTTTGTGGTGACAAATTTTGTTCTATTATCCATATTAGTGCTTCACAGATCATAACAATTATAAAATGATATCATCTTTTCTTTTGCTATAAATGAGAAAGTACATGAGGGGTGATATAGAGCAGATAGACAAAGTCAAAAATGGAATCTAAGAAGCAATAGTATTTCAACGTATTCCCCCTTGTCATATAAGCTGCAGTACTGAACCTTGCAGGTCAATAAGAAAGCCCACACATCCCTGCAATTAAATACAATAACATTACCAGTGTTTCTCAGAAAGAGGACATACAAGGATAAGAGTTAACAACTGATAAATATACAAGTATAACCAAATAAAACCTGTATGACCAATCCAAGATAGGATTCACCCTCATGAAAGGGGGCCATCCTAGCGAGCTAGGAGAGAACTGCTCTTGGCCAACCTACAAGATCAATGTAATATGTTTAATACTCAACAACCTTATATTCAAAGTACTAAGCACAAGCTTTCTAACAAAGGAAATAATTCAACAAATTATATACCGCATTAGGGTCGCCAATTCGTGTACCAAGAAAAATAGCTTTGATAGGTTTTTCATTCATTAGAGTCTCTAACCCAGACTTGAAATCAAGGCTAATAATTTCCAATTGCAAGTCATAACTGCCAAAAGTATTAGCAGTTCATTGTTAAAAGTAATAATCTCGCATTTTGTGAAATTTAAGAAAATTAATATAGCATTCTTACTTAGAGGCTGTTTCATAAGTGAATGAATTGATTTCAGGAAATGCACAGGGAGTTTCAAAGTAGATAGTCCTTATTCTACACTCTGGAATAGAATCCAACTGATTTCCATTGGATTGCTTCGTTTTCTCTTTTTGCAAATAATATTCAGCTCGCAGTAAATGCAGCAAGACCTGCAGAACCAATTGCATCTTAATTAATTAGAATCAAATTTACAAATTTCAATAATGTCAATCTGAACTTCACATAAACAAACAAACATGAAGAAACTATTACAGTGGAATCCTTCCCCCCATTAAAGCTGAAGGCAACTTCCTCAAACCTGTGGATGAACAACATAAATCAAATTGAACCCATTTTCGGGGAAAAACTTATATACCCACATTTAATTTACGCTAAGTAGGAGATTTGGGGCTCAAAAACAAAACGACTGCTAGGGTTTCCAGGCCCCGCATCAACATTCAAAAGCTAAGTAGGAGCACAGTCGAGCTCGGAATCGAACAATTCAATGCCAAAAAAGTGAAGTAAGAGATTAGAAACACAAAAGGCTACCTGAAATCAAATTCTATCCTCGATCTTCACTAGGAAAGATCTAACTACCTAATTTGATCAGAGATCGTGAGAAAAGATGTGTCGAGAAAACCCTAGAAAGCTCCCTACCATTGTGATTCAGTGCTCGCCCTCGGTGGAAAAAGCAACGAGAGTAGCTTGATGACGAAGATAATATCGGAGAGGAGATCGGATATGAGATCCAAGATGAAACGGCGACGAGTTCAGTGATGAGTTCGACGATGCCACGGCAATTTTAGGGAGCGGAAATTTTTGGCTTAGGGATTTCCGCGAGGATTTGAGAGAGAGAGATATTTCGTTTAAACGGTCAGGGGAACGGGCTTTAAAAACAAGCCCAGGAACAATTATAAAGCCCAGGAATAATTATTAGACCTATGACAACGTTTTTTTATAAATTATTGTATTAGATATTACAAACCGTTACGATAGATATCTAACGCAATAGTTAAAACCGTTGCAACTTAACCGCTGCAATAGATCAATTATGTGGTAGTGCCAACATAATCATGTACAACACAATATACAGCTTGTTGACTTTTGGCGATCTCATTACGAAGTCAAGTAATTTGTAACTCCAGTTATTTTCTCAAAAGAAAAGAAGAGAAAAGAAAAAGAAGGATAGATTTCAAGATAACTACGTACCATGAAAGCTCATGGGTTCTTAAGGAGGGGCCACTATGGACTGTTTTAATTTATTTTAATTTCATATCATGACCTTAGTAATTCATTAAAAAGAAAAGGTGTAACAGCATATCGACAGTCTTGCAAATAGAGGAGGAGATATGATGAAAAGAAGTAATGTAGGTTACAGATGGTAGTCTGTGCAAAGGCTTAATTCATGGTTGAAAAAAATTGAATAAAACAGCTCATGTTAGTTTCCTGAAAACAAAGTTCTTCATGTTAGTTTGTTCAAAATTTACCTTATGATTTGTTAGTTTATTGTATCATAATGTTTCGGTAGAAAGTTGGTTCTTTCATTAACGGACTCATCACAACTTTAATCGTTACAATGATCTCAACAAATAAAAATAAAAATTATAACTTTCTGAAAACACACATAATAGACGTTTATCACTCGCTGCTTGCGTGGGGTCTTGGCTTGTATCGAGGTTTATCCGTGGACCACCGACTGATCAGATCCAATTTAAATTTCGTTGCCTCGCAAAGGAGACAAGAAACTAAAGTAACTATCTCAGCAAAGCAAGATAATCACTTTTCTCGAGAATCGTAGCTAGGTACGATCTCAAGGAAAAGGGATGAACCGGACTGCAGATCTATCGTGAAGGATCTGAAATAGATACACTAAAACACTAGAGGGGGGGTGAATAGTGTTTTTTTAAAATTTATGCAAAGTAGATTATAAATTGCAAAGAAAAAATAACAATCTCAGAAATTCACAAACACAAACACAAAGTTTTATACTGGTTTCACCAATCTGGTGTACATCCAGTCCCCAAGCAAATCCCGCTTGAGAGTTTCCACTACGTGTTAGATCTAAATAAAACTTGAGATCTAAATCATAAAACCATGATTAATTCGAAGAGATTAACAATAATCAAAAGGAGTGGAAGCTTATACCTGAATCCATAGATGAAACTTGAGATGAGTTTTGGATCTTCTAACCTTAGGGTTTCTCTAGCCAAATTTCTCTCTAGATGGGGGTGAAGAGAATTAGAGAGTGTAACCCTAGATTAGGGACCATAACCCCTTATTTATAGATGTTGTACATTTGCAATTTGACCCCTCATCAAATCATAATTACAACCTGGTATCTGCACATATAACCCCATGATTTATTTAAATACCCATTAACCCAAATTAATTGATCACTTTAGTGGGTTATCCTGAAGGATAGCAATACACACAAATTAATCATATGTGCCCACAAATATATTTAATTAGATTTAAATCCAACACTATGATTTTGAATAAACTTACAAAATCAAAAGCAAACCTGACTAATTTGCAAGTCCCTGCAAATTGCAATACCAATTGACAAACACCTTGTCAAATTACACACCAATCTCTAAACCAAGAGATTAACACCTCTCACAAACCGAAAGAACTTTTGAAGCAACAATTCAATTCCTATAAGCCTTGATTTGTAGTGTAGTGTAGTAGTGGCTTAGGAATGATTCTAATTTTTGTAAATTGCCTAAACAAGTATTTTAATAAGGATCAAAGGTAATTTCAGAAAACTTTTCTTTTTCTCAAAATCTGAATTTTTTAACACTTGAAAGATGTACAAATATCAAAGCTTATGGGTATCTAAATTTTGTGCATTTTTCTGAACAAATAACCTATTTATAGCCCTTGAAAAGACAAGAATTTCAACTTTAAAAACGTTTAAAAACGGCTATAAACAGACATTAATTCAAACTTTAAAATCTGGAAAAACTGTATCTGTAGTCGACTACAAGACATAGTAGTCGACTACACTGAGTTAAAATCGACTCAGTGAATCAGAAAAATTTCTCAGTAGTCGACTATAATAAGCATTAGTCAACTAGTCATGTGTTTTAGAGAAACATGACTGAAACTTTTGTAGTCGACTATATTAAGCATTAGTCGACTATATCTGAGTTTTACAGAAAAATGTAATGTATAAAATATTTTGACACTCAAATATTAATTATAAACTCTAATGGTTAATATAGGGGATTTCTATAATTAACTAACACACTAAGTCTGTGTTAGTGTGTTCTAAAATATGTGTGTGTGTGTGTGTGTGAGTGATCAAGGCTTGTACAATAATTCTAAGTAAAGAAAATATAAAATACATTATCTCATATGTTCTTCATCTTCTTCACTTCATAATGCCTTGAACTCAACTTGTACTTGTTCATATTTTGATATTGAAAGCTGCATATAAATGTTAGTGCATTTGTATAACACACATTGTATAAATTGTTATCATTAAAATAATATCATAGAGACATGATATTCAACATATCGAACTCTCATTCTTTATGTCGAAGAACTCGCCAAGATCTCTTCCTCCTCTCTGAAATTCGTGGCTCCTCACTCTTCAATTCGACAGGGCTTCGTTGAGGCTTTAGAATTCCGAATCCATGTAAATGAAGGCCCTAGGACCATATTTATAGGCTTCAGAAACCATGATTTCGGATAAGAACGAACGATTTGATCTTATCCTCAATTGTAACCACTTAACCACATTTATAGATAACCTCAAATCAGTTGGGGAGGCTCTGGATAGAATCTTGGGCTCCGGACAGAAGCTTGGTTTCCGGACAGTCCTCACCAGGCCGAGACAGTCTCTTGGGCTCGGGAGCCAGGCCGAGACCAGCCCTGGCCAAGACACAAATGTGTCTTGCCATCTTGGCCTTGGCCGAGACGCCTTTTTGCCCCCTTTGACTGTTTTTGTCGTAACTATTCGATCCGGTTTCAGGACGACATGATTCAAAGTGCGTAGGAAAGCCGGAGAAGAGATCTACAACCTCCCATAGGTGGACCACAGGTGGAGTGGATGAGACACGGGTAGCGTTTCATCTTTTGCGGTCGAAACATAACTTCCGATCGAGTTGTTTCATCACCGTTTGACTGTCTCATTGACTTGTACGCCTGGTCAACTTGCTCCTTGCTTCAAAGTTGCGTGCGGGAAACCGTAGATAATTTTTGACGCCTATAAATACCCCCTCCAAAGTGTTTCAATCTCGTTTCTTTTATAAAAGAGTCTGGAATAATTTGGGTGTGATAGGTTCAACCTTCAGTTGACATAAAAGAGCCTGTAATACTTTGGGTTTGATCGAGTTTTGGCACGATCGACCGGCAATGTGCACGACTTGGTACAAATTCAGGATCTTTGGACGGTCAACCGCGACGATTTTGACGGTCGACCGCCAAACATTGTAATGGTTTTCTGGATTCTGTCGTTCTATTCTGTCGACCGTGAGCTTTGGCGCGATCGACCGCGAGTCGGGTTCGGGTCTGTTTTGATTTCTTATTCTGTTTGGGATTTGTGTTTGGTATAAATAGCAACACACGTTTAAGGATTTCTTTGGCTTTGATTGGGGATTGAATTGATGATATTTGGAGCACAGAAAAAAAGTATTTTCTGAGCTATTGGTTAGAGTTTTTGTTTGGAGAGAATTAGAGATTTGTTAGTGAGATTAGTTGGTTTGTTTGAGTGATTTGTAATCTCAGTTTGTACTCTTCTTCTCTATTAGTAAAAATCTCATCCCCTTCTTGCCCCGTGGACGTAGGTAACTTGCCGAACCACGTAAAATTAGTTGTTTGTGTTTGTGCCGTTATTTTGCATTGTTTGGCTTTCTATCTCGGCGTTTGATTTGGTTCCTCGAAGCACAACGATTGGTGGCTTCCGCGCTCAAGATGTTTTAACTTCATATATTAGTTATCAGGTTCAACTTGTTTATGTACGCACTCTCAGCTGAAATGAAACGAAACATCTATCCTGCCTCTGACCTTTTGGAAGTTAATGTTCAATCCTCACCTCATCTTGAAACTTACAAAGTCTGCAGAATTGCAGCTTGCATGCACTTCTGAG